TTTAGTATAATGAACATTCATACCACCTAAATGTTGTATATAGGATGTATGAATCAAAAGAACTCATTTACTGTATGACTCTATAGTATTCATTCACATGAGAGATGTTACTTTGATATATCTTATTGTCGTTTTGTCTGTTGGTTGTGGGCTTATTCACATGGGTCAGACTGTGTAAATTCGAGACGTAACAGCTGCTGTTTGGCAAAAATGTTTTTAGTTCACTCTTTGGAGTTGAGACTTTTTTTCTTTTTTTTTTTTTATCTTGGGACTAAAAAGTTCATTTGGCAAATTTTTTTTGCTTTTTTTTTTTTTTTTGAGAGAAAGTGAAATGATTATAGTTTGGATGTGATATTTTGTCTTATTAACTTATTTAGCCTATTTTATCTTTTGTATTTTTTTTTGTCCTAACGGGGATAGCCAAATGAAACCTTACAACCATTGGTTTCCTATTTCTCATAGGTATTTTGATATGATTTTTTATGTTATAATTTCTTTTAACTAATTTTTTTAAGTGAATTCAAGCGTTGGAGTGATTTTGTTGCATGTGACTAATCTACATTAGAAATGTTGGGATTATGTTGCTTCTCTTTATATGTATGTGATGGTTGTCTCTTTTATTCTAAATTGGATGGTTAGGCCTTTTTTTTTTCTTTTTTTAAGTTAGGATGATTATTTTTGTATACAAATGTTCATTTACCATTTCTTGAATGCATTGAAATTTGATAAAGTGAAGGATTACCCAGTTATGATACTAATTTAGAAATATTCTTATATTAAAGGTTGTCCCTATACATGTGTCATTTTAATTTGGATATTTTCACTTATGCTGAACATAGTAATATTTTATTTCTAAAATTTACTTTTAAAACTTTAATTCTGAAGTTTGCCAAATGATATATTATGTGTGAAGTTTTATATTACAGTAAAGTTGTTATTATTTTGAATTGATTTATTATAATTGAGTTTTGTGAAATGGAATTGTCGTCATTTTAAATTAATTTATTTTAATTGATTTGTGCACAGTGTATGGTATAAAAAAAAAAAAAAAAAAAAAATTGTTGAGTGTGCCTTTAAGCGCATGTTATCTCTAAGTATATATATATACAACTAGAAGTTATTTGGTCGTTCTAGATTATGGCCACATAATAGCGAAGTGTATTATGATTGATAAGAAGCATGGTTACCTAGTTACTTTATACCTTAAAATAATTTTAATATACAATAGTTGAATTTGATTGAGTGATATTGTAGGCTTACGCTTTTATATATAAAAAATTCACCTACAATAATATGAGAGTGTTTTTGGAAGATGATTAATATTGACTTTTTTTGATTTTTTTATAGTTTTATGTGAGAAGTGATATGACCTAAAATGGATTAAAAATTGACTATCAGGTTTTTGGTGTTGCCCAAAACATCCCATGGTAAGAGAGCTAAGTCAATTAAGGTTAGGTTTGACATCCCCTAAAAAAGTTAAAAAATTAAAAAATCACTATTCTATTTAAGTCACGTTATCTTATTTAAGTTATATCACATTTCCACCAGATCACTTTAAACTCAACTCATATTTCATAAAAAATCAAAAAATACACTTATTTAGAATATCTCAAACAACCTCTAAATAAGTAACAAATCAAAAATGGGCAAATTGTTGATAAATCCCATTTAGAAGTGTTTTCACCCAAGAAGTTCATGAAGGAATTTTTTAACCCATTTAGTCCCATGTATGTATTATGTTATTCTATAAAGTCTTTTTTCTTGATTTACACTATTTTCTTGGACACTTATGCCCTTATATTTAATTTTGATACTCTTATAAATATTTTTTGAACGGTTAGCAATTTTATGATGTGAACGTTCATATTTTAAAACTCACATTAGTAGGAATGTAAAATTGGCCCGTGGGCGGCCCGAAACCCGCCCGCGAACAGGGGCGGGCCCGACCCATTGACAATGTGAATATTCACATTGACATGTTAACATTCACATTAATAGAAGTGTAAAATTGGCCCGCGTACCGTGGCGGCGCGAACCCCGCCCGCGGCCCATGGGTGGCCCGGGGCGGGCCCGTTGACAATGTGAATATTCACATTGACATGTTAACATTCACATTGATAGGAGTGTAAAATTAGCCCGCGGCTCGTAACTGCCCGAAACCTACCTACGGCCCATGGGCTGCCCGGGGCGGGCCCGGCCCGGCCTGTTGACAATGTGAATATTCACATTGACATGTTAACATTCACATTGATAAGAGTATAAAATTGGCCAGCGGCCCAGGACGGGCCCGACCGGCCCGTTGACAATGTGAATATGCACATTGACATGTTAACATTCACATTGATAGCAGTATAAAATTGGCCCACATCGGGCCCATTGACAATGTGAATATTCGCATTGACATGTTAACATTCACATTGATAGGAGTATAAAATTGGCCAGCGGCTTAGGGCAGGCCTGACACGGCCCGTTGACAATGTGAATATTCACATTGACATGTTAACATTCACATTGATAGGAGTGTAAAATTAGCCCGTGCCTCATGGCTGCCCGAGCCTCATGGCTGTCCGAAACCCGCCCACGGCCCATGGAAGGGTCGGGGCGGGCCCGGCCCGGCCTGTTGACAATGTGAATATTCACATTGACATGTTAACATTCACATTGATAAGAGTATAAAATTGGCCCGTGGCCTATGGACGGCCAAAAGCCTGCCCACCGCCCGGGGCGGGCCCGGGCCGGCCCGTTGACAATGTGAATATTCACATTGACATGTTAAAATTCACATTAATAGGAGTGTAAAATTAGTCCGCGTCTCGTGGCTGCCCGAAACCCGCCCACAGCCCATGGGCCGCCCTGCGTGGGCCCGGCCCGGCCTGTTGACAATGCGAATATTCACATTGATAAGAGTATAAAATTGGCCAGCGGCTCAGGGCGGGCCTGACCCGACTCGTTGACAATGTGAATATTCATATTGACATGTTAACATTCACATTGATAAGAGTGTAAAATTGGCCCATAGCCCGTGGGCGGCCCGAAGCCCGACCCCAGCCCGAGGCGGGCTTGGCCCGACCCGTGACAATGTGAATATTCATATTGACATGTTAACATTAACATTGATAGGAGTGTAAAATTTGCCCGCTGCCCGAAGCTTGCCCGCGGCCCCGGGTAAGCCCGGCCCGGCCCTTTGACAATGTGAATATTCACATTGATATGTTAAAATGCGCATTGATAGGAATGTAGAATTGGCTCGCGGCCCGTGGGCTGCCCGAAGCTCGCCCCAGCCCGGGGCAGGCTTTTTTCAGTCCGGGGCCGAGCATGTCCGAGACCTTAGGTTAGGGCCTAGGTCATCACTTTGAAGCCTGGCCTAGCCCATCGGCCCGCTTAAGGCCCATTCAAGGCTCGGTCCGAGGCCCAGCCTGCCCGAGGCGCAATATATTTTTTTGTGGAAAATAATAAAATTTTGGTAGAAAAAATTAAAAAGAATTAAAAAAAATGGCTAGGCCCGTCCAAGCCCGGCTTAAGCTCGAGGCTAGGCCCAGGCCCACCGGCTTGACCCGAGGTTCGATCTATCAGCCCGTCCAAAGCCCGAACACCCTTGTGCCAGGGCCTGGGCCTGGGCCTATTTTTTTGGCCCGTGGGCCGGCCCGGGAAAGGCTCATTTGGGCCTAGGCTCGAGCTTAGTCTAAGACCCTAGGCTAAGGCCTGGGCCATCACTTTGAAGCCTGGCCCGACCCATCGGCCCAGTTAAGGCCCATTCAATGCTCGGTCCGAGGCCCGGCCCGCGCCGAGGGCTAGTGTCTTTTTTTGTGGAAAATAATAAAATTTTGGTAGAAAAATTAAAAAAAATTTAAAAAAATGGCCAGGCCCGCCACGGGCGGGCCCACATGTCGTTGGCGGGTTTCGGGCAACCACGAGGCACGGGCTAATTTTACACTCCTATCAATGTGAATGTTAATATGTCAATGTGAATATTCACATTGTCAACGGGCCGGGCCGGGTCCGCCCTAGGCCGCTGGCCAATTTTATACTCTTATCAATATGAATGTTAACATGTCAATGTGAATATTCACATTGTCAACAGGCCGGCCCGGGCCCGCCCACGGGCTGTGGGTGGGTTTCGGGCAGCCACGAGGCGCGGGCTAATTTTACACTCCTATCACTGTGAATGTTAATAGATCAATGTGAATATTCACATTGTCAACGGGCCGGACCGGGCTAGCCCCGGGTCGTGGGCGGGCGTTTGGCTGCCCATGGGCCGCAGGCCAATTTTATACTCTTATCAATGTGAATGTTGACATGTCAATGTGAATATTCATATTGTCAACGGGCCGGATCGGGCCTGCCCCGGTCCCCCCATGGGCCGCGGGTGGGTTTCGCGCCGCCACGGGACGCGGGACAATTTTACACTCCTATTAATGTGAATGTTAACATGTCAATGTGAATATTCACATTGTCAATAAGCCAAGCCCGCCCCGGCCCGACTCGAATTTTTTCGGGCACCCACGAGGATCGACATGGGCCGAGCCCCTACACATTGACGATATGAACATTTATATTAACGGTGTGAATATTTACAATAGGGGTATTTTTATAATTATGTCACCCATAGGACTTATTGAAACATAAGAAAATAATATGAACTAAATAGAACATAAGTAGATGAAAAATGTATTTTGGTCTTATTATCTCAAATAGAATCTAATAGAATAGTAAAAAAGAATATGAATTGAATGGAATAAAACTCTTAAAAAATGAATTTATCAAAAAAAAACTCCCATCAAAAATTGACAAATATAAAATCATACATATGGGTAGTATTGTTGAAGTGTGTTTTTTTTATTTTTTTGTAATCTTAAATATTTTCCTTTGATTAAAGTGCTTTCAGTCTGTCAAAATACTAGCTTCCTCAGTTGATTTCATTGCTATCACACGACAATAAAGACAAAGGACACAACAATATATATATAAATAGAGAGAGAGAGAGAGAGAGAGAGAGAGAGGAGGGACAAGGGGCGGGACATAAAAGGAAGTAAATTTTGTTTGAAGAAACGGCCGATTCTTCAAATACTAAAGACTCCTGATTTAAAAGTGCCATCATTACTCGTCCCTGTCTCTCCAACTTATAAGAGATATAATATATATATATATATATACAAATACAGAGGGAGAGAGAGAGCGCGCGGAGTGAAGAAGACATATAGTGGTTGGTTAGAGTGGGTGGTGAGGTTGAAGCGGGATGAGCATGAGAAAGGGAATATGGATTTTGCAGAGTGTGATGGTAGTAGTAATGGTGGAATACTATCTGGGTATGTTTCTCTGTTCTCCTCTTCTTCCTCTGCCTTTGTTGGTTTTTGTACTCACTCAGACTATATATATAATAATATAGATACATTTATTTTTTCATTTTTTTTAATTTTTTTTTTGGTTAATGACTCTTCCTTCTTTCTTTCAATATATATATATATATATATATTTCTTTTTCATTTTCTTCATTTAAACATTCATGCTCAGCCAGCTGCTTGCTCTTCCATACAAACCTGCCACTTTATTTAAAATGGTTAAAAAAGTATTTTACATATTTTTTAAAAAATAAAAATAAAAACTAATTGGTTTTAGCCATTGCGGCTAGTCTTTAGCTACCAAGTCCGATCTTCTGTGTCTAGAAATGGAATGAGAGATAAAAAGTAAAGTCTTAAATAAAATAAACAAATAAATAAATTTATTTTCTAATCTCACAAGTAACACCGTTTTTTTTTTTTTTTAACTGTTTTAATTTGTGCTAAAAAATCTCGTTTGGAATGAGTTATTTTTTATTTTTGTAAGAAAAAAAAATTAAATAATTATAATTTAGATATAATATTTTATCTGATTAATTTTTTACTTATTTTATCATTTTATGATTATTTTAACCCAAGATTAAGATGTCAAAAAAGGCTAAGGGATTGTTTGGAGTGTCCTAAATAAGTATATTTTTTGACTTTTTATGAAATATGGGTTAGTTATGGGTTGTGTTTAAAATGATGTGATAGAGAGGTGATGTGACTTAAATAAGATGATGTGACTTAAATAAGATAGTGCCTTTTTAACTTTTTAAATTTTTTTAAAAATGTCAAACTTGACCTAAGTAAAGCCACAATTTCCATTTAGAAAATGTTTGACAACTAAAAAGTCTACCAAATTGAATAAGACAGGCTAATTTTTTTATTATTTATTACACATTTAATTCCCTTACTTGGGGTTTAAATTTTGTGTTTTTAACATTTCTCATAATTGTAATATATTTATTTTATTGCAATTTTCTTTTTAAAAAAAATTGATGGTTTATTTTTACAAATCTAATATATTTTTTTCAATGACAAATCTATGAAAAGATTGTGATTACTGGATTGTTTTAATTTTTTCATGGTTGTATACACGGATAATTCTATAAAATGAAAAATTTTTTTTATTTAAAAAAAATTGAGCAGTTTAGATGTTTGGGAAGGGATTTTGTGGGTTTTTTTTTTTTGGCTATTAGCCACAAAAGACAAAATAGACTATTTTAACCACAATAAACAAAATATGACATCCAAACTCTTAATCATTATACTTTTCTCTCACAAAAAAAAAGTCAAAAAAGTCAAAAAGCCAAAAAGTCCTTCCCAAATTAAGCATTATCCTCTTTTAGTGTAAAAGTTTTGGTAGTTAAAGACCATTGTCTCATTCTGTAAATGACTAGATAGATTAGTGAAGATATCAATCACCCTTTCCACCATGTTCTTTTTATGCATACAATACAAATACAATAAAATGATTTGTTTAGTTTAGTTTAGTTTAGTTTTTGCAGGGGTGCAGGCGATGATGCAAGAGAAGGCGGAGGCATCAATTCCAATGACAACCTTCTCACCTCCAGAAGGGAATACAACCTTCCTTGATGGCACAAATTGGTGTGTGGCACTTGCGGGGGTGCCCCAAGTTGATTTGCAGAATGCGCTGGACTGGGCATGTGGATTGGGAATGGCAGATTGCGGTCCTATTCAATCTGGGGGTGCATGCTTTGAACCGGATACGCTTTTATCGCATGCCTCTTACGCTTTCAACTACTATTATCAACAGAATGGCAATTCTGATATTGCTTGCAATTTTGGTGGCACTGCTACTTTAACAAAATCTAACCCAAGTGAGTCCCCCATCCATCCATCTTTAAACTTATTGCTTTGCTTCCCAACACACCCATCAAAACAAAATTAATGTGTCATTGTTGGATTAGATTATATGCAAGCACAAAGTGTCTTCTATTAAGGAAGAAGATGTGTCATGTTTCAATACGAAATTGAGAGAAATTTGTGGCAATATGAAATGATTGATTGCAATTTATTTATTTATTTATAATAATTTTGTTATGCAAGAATGTGGTGTCAATCACACAGGCCCATTTTGGGAACTCGGCTAAAAGCTAGCTTTTTGACTTTTTTGAGTCACATTATCTCTTTTTTGCACTTTTTTTTTGAAAAAAAGTTCAAAAAAAAAGCCAAAAAAATTGCTTTTAACCTACTTCTCAAATTAAGTCACAATAAACAATAATAGAGAACAAGCACACATAGAAAAACACGAAATATATGTGGTTTGGCAAGATGCCTTCGTTCATGGCAGAGAAACATCAAAATCCACTATACTCGATAAGAATTACAAGAACTTTGTAGTACTCTATAACCCTTCCCGAAAATAACAATATTTATCACCGAATCTTCGGGCCGCGTTCCTCTTGGAACCTCCACTCCATCGCTGTCGCCCCCCCCACAAAGGGCCTGGGTATAGCTCTGTTGGGCCTTTCACTTCGGCTCTAGGCTTCGGCCCTCCGCTTCCATAAAAAGGCCCCGTAGAGTACTCTGAGTGGACTACAAGACACCTCACAGCAACTTTCACTTTAGATTGGAGAAGGAAGTTTGTGCTAACATTTCAAGTTTTTTCCTTGCTTGCCCTGGTCCGATGACTGGACATAGATTATCTCTGCTCTTTTTGTTGACATAACTATTCGTGGTAAAAACATTATTTAAAATGATGCATACTTTGAATATATATATATATATATATGTACGTCTTTTGTGGGGTGGAGGTAGCTGTTTATACAAAGTCACTATTAATTCTAATTGATCCTTACTGTCGGATTACAGGTTATGGGAAGTGTGTTTATGCCTCATCAGAGTAAGTGAATGGTGTTGACATTGTTAAACTAACCAAGTTTTTAAATTTTGTTTTACTGTTTTGCTTTTCTTAATCAATTCAATGGTAGTATTTATGTATGTAGTATCTTGCAACAGGTCTGTTGGATCATCGGCACCTTCAATGTTGAAGTATAAAAAACCAAACCTCAATTGGTGGAAAGTCACCACCACTGCTATTCTACTTCTTTTATACTATTGAGAGAATCCCCCCCATGCCCACTATTACCATCCATGGTCTCAGCTCTTCGAACTTACAGTCTTCCAAGGGTGGTCTTAGCTTAGCCTATGTCTACTGCAACTGTTCTGCAAAGTGGCAACGGGGCTGAAAAAACAAAACCAAAAGCCGAAGGATTTGGATTTAGATTTGGATTCTGTTTAGAAAAACACAGACACCCATCGTACGTATGTACTTTCTATAATTGTGTTTTGAGAAGACATTATTCGTTGCTTTAATGTTGGGTTAGGAATGTAGAGAGAGCTAAGTTTTCTTTCTTTTGTTTAGCTTTCTCCCAAGCTTTTTACTATTATTATTGCTAAATGTTATGTTCAGTAGCGGTTTAGGAATCAAATGCTTGTTTGCATTCCTTTTTTCCTTTCTCAAGACTCCCCTCCTTTTTCTTTCTTTATTTATTCATTTATTTATTTTTGTCTTTCATACGCTATTGGTGAAAACTAAACTTCATTAATTGATTCCGAACACTCGAGCCATATTTGGTTTTATTTTAAGATATTTATTTTAGAATTTTTTCTTTAAAAAACTAAAAATTAAAAAAAAATCAAAAACATTTTTTTATATACTTTTAGCTTTCGGGAAGTCAAAAAATATATATATTTTTTAAATTTAAAAATATCTTTTTGCATATTTTTTTATTAAATTAATTTCTTTTTTTACACAAAAATAAAAAATAAAAAAAAAATTATATTGTTTTTAAAAGACAGTACACATGGCACACATGTCTTTTGGTATCAGAGCCAAGTTATGTTGCTATCTATTGCGTCTTGTTAATTCTGATTAATCTGTCTCTGTTCTGTTTAGTATCTGCCTTCAGTCATCTTAATCTGTCACTTATTCTATCTGTGTTTTCCACTTTGTGCTTAGCCACCTAACTTTCGTCCCAGTCTTTGGTAAGTCCTTTAGTTAGGCAGTGTTGGACTTTAGGGGTCATCCAAAATAGGTATGTGTGAAAGCGTAGTATGTGAAAACATGATAAATTTAGACAATTGATTAAGATTCCTGTAAGTCATTTACCCAGTCAGAACTATGAGTCGATTATTGAGAAGTAACTCGTCAGTTAGCTCTAGGTCAACTACGTTGCCCTTAATATCTAATCAAGAATTAGTAATTAATGAAGAAGATGTTGAAATATAAAATGATAAAATTGATTTAAGGCGGAATATACAAAAATTATCAGTTAAAGAAATTTACAAAACTACTTTTTTACAATCTGCATTTCATGTGAATCTGCATGTTAAAACTTTGGAACAAGTTTACGTTTTATCTAAACCTCGAGAAACCTGTCAATTATTTGATGCTAATACTATTAAACGCCATTTAAAAACTGGTCACAATTTTATTCATTTAGAATTAATTGAAGTTGGAATCAAATCATTAACTCAACCAGGTAAAAATTATACTATTTTATTATGTTTACGAGATGTTTGTTTTATTGATTACAATGATAGTTTAATGGGTATGATGGAAATTGTTCTCCACAAAGGACCCGTTCATTTTAATTGTTTTCCTGATTTTACTCTCAGTCTTAAGGATCCACATATATTAGATGCATTAACTTTGAATATTCAATTAAATGGTTCATTTACTAATATGAAGGATAAAGTTCATAATATTGCTTTAATTTATCGTGTTCGTTATAAATGTATTAAAACCAATTTAAATGTTCAAGCATTACATAAAAGCCCAAAGGATAAAACTTTATTGATTCAAAGTAGCAGTAATGATACTAATATTAACATTCCTCAAATGATTGAATGGAAAGATATTACTCTCCCTGATCAATGGATTACAGTTAATGAAAATTACAAACATAATCAACAACAATCTACTAGTCAAGATATCCAAGATATTCAACAATTTATTGATGGTTCAGTCCGTATTAAATTTAATCGTAGTCAATCTTCTAGACATAGTACCTCTAGTATACCTACTGATACTGAAACTGAAGATGAAATATTTAATACTCCTTTATTTCAAAAAAATAGTCAAATCAATCTTGGTCAAACTTCCCATAGTAAACTAAAAGGAATTGATAACTCCACAACTTCTCAAATTAGTAAGCCTGTTTACTCTACTCATACACATTGCTCTACTCATACATATTTACCTAAAGATGATACTGAATCTCAAGATTCCCCTACTCAAATTGATTTCGAAGATATACCTCCAATCAATCCTCAATTAATGACAATTAGTAAATCATTTACTCCTGATCTTGATAAATTACTTATTGCATTTAAATATCAAGAAAATAGGATTAAAAGACATGCTTACCGTGATAAATATGATTCTAATCAACAATCCAGAATAACTAAAAAATTGTATGATTTTATGATTGAATATCCTATGGAAATTCCTTTCTTTGAATATTTAGAAAATTATTACAAAAAAGTAAATACAATCACAAAATATAAATGGAAAACTTTTCCTAATACAACTGTTAGCTCTAGTCATACTCCTTTATCTAATATCATTATTGAACATCAAGGATCTGAAGTCCCAGCCTCTCTTTTTAAGTTGCCTAGCACTGACCCTGAAATTAAAAAAGTTATTGAACAAAATAATTATACTAATTAACGTTTAAAAACAATTGGTAAACAATTAGATAAACTAGAAACTAATTTAGATGATTATTCTGCTAACACTACATTCACTAAACAATCTTTAGATCAATCTTTGATTAACTTACCCAGTAATCGTTCTAAAAGAAATAGTTTAGTCACTCAAGATACTTCTACTGTTAAAGCTATAGAACAACTATTCACTAAATTAACTACTTCTGAACAAGCTTCACCATCTAAGGAAAAAGGTCTTGCTGTCCTAAACCAACCTTTAGACAAGGCTTCTACTCAATCAGAAACTGATACAACTGATACTGAAATTAATCAATTAGCTCAACAATTTCAATCTTTTAATCTTAATAAACTCCACTATCCTAAACCTCAATCAACTACTCTTACTAAAAATTGGTATTCTCGACCTAGTCCACCTGACCTCCAATATGAAGAAACTAATATTTTTAATCAATTTTCTGTATCTGCTAAAAAATTATACGAATGGAATATTGATGGTCTTAGTGAAGATCAAATACTTCAAAAATTAAATCACCTATCTATGGTTGCAAATAGTTATCTTACTAACTACCCTGATTACTGTCAACTTGAAATTACTTCTTTAATTACCTCTGATTTTACCGGTATGCTCAAATCTTGGTAAGAAAAATACCTTACTGAAGATCAAAGAGAATCAATCTTACATGCTAATCAAAAAGATGAAAATGATTTACCAATCTTTGATGAAACTATTGGCTATTACAAACCTGATGGTGTTAACACATTAATCTATACCATAGTTAGACATTTCATAAGTACTCCTACTAATATACATTCTCGCATACATGATCAACTTAGTAACCTTGTCCAAAATTAAGTGATTTTAGATGGTATAAAGATTTATTCACCTCTAGAGTTATGTTAAGAGAAGATTGTACTAAATCTTTTTGGAAAGAAAAATTTATTAACGGATTACCTAGTTTGTTTGCTCACAAAATTAGAGATGTTTTTAGTCAACCTACTGGCATTATTGAATATGACAATTTAACTTATGGTGATATCATTAGCACTATTCAAAAAGAAGGATTAAGAATGTGTATTGATCTTAAACTCAGTCAAAAAGCTACTAAAGATAAATATAAGGCTAAATATGAATTAGGTAATTTTTGTGAACGGTATGGTTTACCTCCTGTCGTACTTTCCCGTAGGAAAACACATAAAAAAAATAGTAAATCTCATTACAAATATTCAAACAAGTATAAAAAGAATTATTCACCTTCTAAATCAAATGATAAATTCTATACTAAACCTAAAAGGAAATATTAGAAGAAATCACATCCAAAAGCTAAATCTAAAAAAGATATTACTTGTTACAACTGTGGTTAAAAAGGTCATTATTCTAATAAATGTAAAGAAAAGCAAAATTTAAAAGATAAAGTTAATCAACTTCAAATTAATGATGAGTCAAAAAGTCAATTATTTGAAATATTTCAATTAAATCAATCTGTTAGTAATTCCTCTTCTGATAATCCTAATACTTCATCTAATTACAATTCACCTAGTAAAGATCTGATGATAATATAGAATTAGGATGTAATAATGTTTGTTGTAAACCTGTTAAACAAATTACTGTTCTTACCAAACAAAATCAAGAAGAAACTGCTTTTATTGAATTAATTAGTAGACTTGAAGATTCTAAATTAAAAAAGAAATATACTGATAAATTAAAATCTTTGTTAATCAATACTAATCATAAACCTAAGTTTGATAAGCATGTTATTAGTCTATTTAAAACCTTAGAAAGATTTTAAAAAAAAACACAAAGAAGTTACCTTACAAGATTTACAACAAGAAATTAATCAGATTAAACAAACCATTAAAAATTTACAAAATAAAGATCAACATTTAGATGATGAAATTATAATATTAAAACTTAATAAAAATTTAGATAATTTCCAAACCAATAATGTTTCTTTTAATGAATCTGAACATGAATCTGATGAAACTACTAACCCTGATAATCTTTTATTTGATAATCGATCACATCAATCTCAATCTCATAATCATGAAGATAATAGATTAAATCTTCTTAATAAAATCCATATTCAAAAATGGTATTCTAACATTAAAATAGTTATTAATAATTTTGAATTAGATGTTATTGCTTTAATTGATACTGGTGGCGATCTTAATTGTATTCAAGAAGGATTACTCCCTACTAAATATTATGAAAAATTTCGTGAAAAATTAACTTCTGCTAATGGTAGTAAAATGCATATTAAATATAAAATACCTAAAGTTCATATATGTCAAAATAATGTTTGCTTTAAAACTTCCGTTGTTTTAGTTAAAAATATGACTGATAAAGCTATTTTAGGAACACCATTTTTATTTTTACTATACCCATTTACCACCTCTAGTGAAGGAATAACTACTCATGTGTTTAGGTCAACCTGTTACTTTTAAATTCTTATCTCCTCCTGAAATATTAGAATTAAATCAATTAAAAGATTGTTTTATTTCTCAAACGATTAATCGATTAACTCGTCATTTAAGATATCTTAAAGAAGAAATTAATTACAAAATAATTGATCAACAATTAACTAATCCAGTTATTATTTCTCAAATTAATGAATTTAAATTAAAATTAGAAACTACTGTTTGTTCTACTTTACTAACTGCATTTTGGCATAGGAAAAAATATGTAGTCACATTACCATATATTAAGAATTTTCATGAAAGTCAAATTCCTACTAAATCTAGACCTATTCAAATGAATCATGAATTACTTGAAATGTGTAAAAAAGAAATCAATG